TTGCTTCGTTTCTTTACTGAGTTCATATCCAGCTCCGCCATCAGATCAGACCCTGGTCAATCAGACGAGCTGAAACTCGATGGGGTTGAGTCGTTTCATTACAGAGTAGTCATAGGAACCTTACAGAATAGCCTCATAGACCTCACAGAAGATCGGCGTATGGTACTTCTGCGATTTGTCTGGTGAGTACCTGACTCACGAGATGCGTTTTCTCCTTATAATAAAGTGGGCTCTAGCTTCCTAGCCGGAGCCCACTTTTTTATAAGCTACCTAGCCGGAGCCCACTTTATTATAAGTAGAAAACGCATCTGCAACCCTATATATATGTCCATGGACGGCTGAAGATGGAGCTCCATCATCAGATCTTGGTTACCAATGAAAGACAAACTACTCGTCAATACGATTCAAATGTACCCAAACGCGATGAGGCTCTATCGTTTCATTTTTAAGTTCCTTTGGCCTTCTTCCAGCTCCATCATCAGATCAGCACCATAAAAATATTGGATTGTTTCGTGATTTACACATGTATACAAAATTTCAGCTCAACCGGTAACCGGGAAGTAGTTCAAATTTAATTTGCAAGATTTGATTTGTTGATTTAACATTAAAATATTGTAAAAATGTTCATAAAATGAAAACTACTTGGCCAAACTTTGGTAAATTTTTATGGGACCAAATGGCAACTATTCTGCATCAAACTAAAGAAGATTCACGTAAATCGGATCATAAATCTCAACGTAATCGGTGAACATACATCGAAAAAAATATACCAATCGAATTTAGAAACTCCCCCTTTTGAAGTCAATTAAAAATATTATATTAATTTAATTAAATATTGAAGGTACTTATATAAAATCTATACGTGTGTGCAAAAAATATATAAAAACATTATGTTTAACAATTTTAATTAGTGGTCTACCTAGGTCCTGGACCCAGCCCAGGGGGGGGGGGGGGGGTCGTGACCCCACCCCGGATCCGCCCTAGGTTATTACAGTACATCGATTAAAACCCCATTTGACCGATTTTCCGCCTTGCCGTGGTGGAGGGGCTTGGTCACCCAGCACGAAGCTAAGTGGATCTCAACATAAGCCGTTGTGGTGTAAGTCGCGCTGAATGTTCCAGCGCGCTTTACCTGGATGTGAGAGAAGTTCTTCCCCGAGAATGCTAAGGAAGACAGCGCTGGCAAGGTCGCGTAAGTGTGCCAAAGCGCTTTTTTTTAAAGCTGCATCCTATTGGCTATCGTTTCCGCCTCATTGTCTCAAGTGCCTAACCGCCGGTGCCGGTGTCTCAGACTGTGTACATTTAAGAGAAAAAAACAAAAACATAATAACAAATTTGTACCTGTATGCTACGTATACATAAAAACGTTGTGTTGTGGGATGCATGAAAAGGTCCTGCCTCAGCATCAAAACTAAGACCCTAAGACCTGAATCGGTACCAATAGCAATTTTCGACGCTAAAGGAAATATACCTTTAACTATTATAACTTTTCCGTCCACACTTTTCTACAAAATAATGCACGATGCTTCTCTGCATGATAAAGTCGTAATGAAGACTTAGGCAACTGACATAGCAGAGGCTTAGTCAGCTGAAGTGGCAATAACCAATCACCAAAACAGCTTCTCTAGTGACAGCCTTGGATTGGCCACCACACCACAGAGTAGGATGATCCCCCCTAGATGATGTGACGATCTGTGCTAATGTATGGGGAAGTGTGCAGGAATGGATGCAGGTGGCTCAGGATCGTGCTTCAAACATTGGAGTGTGGGGGGTGTGGTATATTGTGTGGACTACAACAGGTTGAAATGATGAATCAATAAATGAATAATACATGTATTTTTTAGCAAGCATGTTGTTTTCTATCTTGTACAATTTTTTTAAGAAATAAAGTTAAATAGAAAGGGGGTGTCCAGATAATATGAAGGAGTTGTACTTTAACCTCTTCTATTCAACGTCGTAACGAAAGGGTTAAATGAAATATTATAATTTGAAGGGAAGGAAAATCCAAAAATAATTCAAATTTTTACACTTTAATCTTGAACATAGGATTTGGACCTGCAGGATACATTGCATACCTTTATTTACCAAAATACTAAATAGCAAATGTTTAAACCAATGAAATGACAAGATTTTAAATCAGTGTGACATTTAAATCTAGCTCCCAAAATATGAATTTTCTGTGCGCAGTTTACATGATGAAAGTTTCTTTCATCTAAATTTAGATCACATTTGGGTTTAAATTTACGAATTGAAATAAAATATCGCAATTTGCGTCCATATTTAAAATTATGTATTTTTAATTACACTTAATTTTTACAAAGTATCTGGGTGCAGACAGATATCTTGTGGCATAATTATGTTTCCTAATTTCGTAATACATATATGACTCACTTAAAGAAATATTCCTCAGAATTCAAAACCATAAAATAAAATATGCAGGGTTATACATAATTATTGACTAGGCAAATATGCTTAGTCAGCTAGAACAAAGAAAGGTATTGTCAAAAACAACTAAATTAAAGAGACGGAAAAGATTACAGAAAGAAAAATTAATATAAATTTTACAATATAAAGAGACGGAAAAGATTACAGAAAGAAAAATTAATATAAATTTTGGGGTGATTAACACATTGTATTCATTTAAAGCTACTTTCTATTAATTTGTTGCTAAAATCACATTTTATTAATTGAAAACAAGCAGCTTGTAACACATTTTGTAGTACAAATTGTAATATAACAACGTAAAAAAATTTCAAATTATCTAACAACTCAAAGTTGCAAAGAATAATCTGGTAAAAACCTAAATGACCCAAATAGCAAATAACGAAAAGTCAGTAAAGTTACCCATGCAGTGAAAACTACACCAGTAAAAAGTTAACCAAGACTGCATTATTCATGTAAAATAAATCTGAATTGGTGAAATGAAAACTATACCAAATGTAACAAGGTCACACCCAATGGTTATAATGAACATTGTTTAATAATGATAGGTCCTTTCTGTTATTAATCCTATTTCTGTTATTTTAGTAAATATTTATTATATCTAAATTTACATTATTATATGATACATGAAGTACTGATTTTTATAAACAATGATTTTGGCTTTTTGGCTTGTGCTCAGTATTGATAGATTAATTATAATCATAACAACGGCATAGGAACATATAAAACATACACTTCTGACTTGCCAAAAACAAATTGAAAAATTGGCTAAAGACTTAAAAATGTTAATGATAACGTATTGTAAGTTCTGACAAAGATAAATATATTCCTACTGCAATACAATTTTCTCTTTTAATATATATTCGATACATGATACTTGTCTTCAATTATAGTATTTCTATTGACACAGTTTTATGTCTCAGCTGAAAAGGAAAAATAATGAATTTTAGAATTTTTTAATGTCCTTCAAACTGATTTATTGGCCAAGTAACTGTAAGTTTATGACACAATAATTATTTGAATAAAGGAAAACACAGTGATAGGGTTATGCAGAACTTTTCAATATTGCATGAATGGGCAGGCTTGTCCGGGAAGTACCACAACCTCATAGAAGATCAGCATAAAGTCGAAGTGTTATACTTTTGTGAAAAATTAATATTTTAAAATTTACACTTACTTCTAATAATGTAGTAAATAAAAAATGTATTCTAGATTTACGTTTACCTATTTACATGATAAAAATTCTTTGCACATTTACAAATAAGCCCTTACCATTTTTAGAGATTGCCAATGTTTTCTTCGAAAAGCCTCTTTCCACCCTTCAGTATCTTCTCTGAATCGCTGCTGTGTTTAATCATATACTCCTCCAGTCTTATGAGCCATTGAGCCCAATGCTCTCTCAGCTTATCAGTTGATAAATGAAAGGCATCAGCCTTGGAGCCATCAGTATAAGCTATAACTAGAAGAGCATCCCTCACGTTTAAATGCTTGTAGTTCAAGTCATTGCACACTGCTCCAAAGTATGCTGCTAACTGAACAGGGTTATCATATGTCAGCGATATTGCCCTCCTGGCCTTTTCTGATTTCTTCCACTCTATAAGAGTTGGCTTATCTCTAAAATTTTAAAGATTAGCAGTTCAGCATCTATCAGATTAGACAAAATTGTCGGAAAAAAATTGTGTTTCAACTGGGTATATTCTATTGGTGATGAATTTCAAAATAATATAACTTTACTGGAGCAGAATATGAACATACAATAGTTTTTACTGTTGGATGAATGTGCAGTCATCAAGGAAAACCTCAGCATAAAACACTCACAGTGGACAAAATAGCAAAATATAATTATTCAAAATATTGCAAAATAAGTTTACCAGGGAGTAAGCCCTTCAAGATATTGTTACCTACTCATGATCAATAAACACTGCACTTTTGAAATATTCATCACAAGTGGTAATTTGATTAATGACAGTTTTGTTTATTTGCCTAACAGCACCATTTAAATTTTGCCAGAATTATATTAAAATGAACTGATTTGTTTAAATTTAATACTTACTCATAATCAGCTATAGCATCAAATATGCCTCTATATTTTAAAACAGGATGTACAACATTAGACTCTATAGCTTTGGGTGAGGAAATGCTTTTTAAAACATCTTGAACAGAATTCCATACTCCTTCGACATCCTTATCAATTCGTAGTTGAGTTTGGGGTTGTGTAAAATAGTTTTTTAAAGTACTGTGAAATTTTGTTCCTAAAGCCAACTGAGCTGTGGAAAACATGCGAAATAATAAGAAAAATTATTATGATATATATTTTATATAGATAACTTTTATAATTTTAAAAATTATGTAAAAATTATGTAAACAATGGAAAATTATTTTGCTACAATTCAATGCAATTAATGAATTTTATTACTTTGATATTAAAAAATTGCAAGAATAAAATAATCATTTCAAATATGGCAAAAACAGTAAGTATTTTAAACATGAATTGCGTTGAACTGGTAGACTGAAATACATACCTTCATAAAATTTATTAAATGCCTCTAAGCCCATTTCTGCAATTCTTTCTTTCTTCCACTTTTCTAGAGCAGCTCTGGACTCTTCAGTCATGGTTTTATTCAAGATTAAAGTTACTGATGGGTACTGCTTAGCAAAATCATTTTGATGGGGTTTTATTTGCAAAATATTGTCTTCACTTGCGTAACCTGGTTCTGCAGGTGAGCTTCTGGCCGCATTGCATGTAGCAATTGTTTTGATTCCCCTGTGAGTGGTATTATTTAGTAACACACCCACAAAGTTAAAGCAAGTTTTTGTGTTTTGCCACATATTTATTTTTAAAATGTCTACAGTTTTATTGTAAGTTGAAAAAAGCTTCTGAACATTTTCTGATACACTGAACTTCTGCGTACTTTCACTGTCCACCACCGTTCCGTTGTTTTGATGCGACGTCTGGCTATTTTTAGCTGCAACAAACAGATAAATTTATATCTGCGAAGAATTCCTAAATACACAATTGCGTTTCATTCTAGGCGCCAGCGTTGAACGTTGTGTCGTGTCATATGATTTTATATTGGCACAATATGATTGACAACATTGTATTGTTATAAATACCTGGCTACGAACAAATAACAAACGTCAAAGAGGCTTGCCGAATCAGATGGCGAGTCAAATTAAGAGTGGTTCAATGATGGCGGGAGAATGATGAACTACGCCTACAGAAAAGAAAATTACTGTGGTTTATTAACTTTCCAAGGTTGAGGAAGCTTTATTAAGGACTCACCAGCCTTTTGAGAACGCAATTTTTTTGCTTTCTTCTTTTCTAATAAGGGGCCAAAAAGTTCTTTATTCTCTTTTTGGTATAATTTCAATTTTTCAGCAGGATTCAAGATAGAAGGAGATTTAATCACTTTTGTTCGAATACAGTCTTTTAATACAGTGTCATTAAGAACACCACGGCGTATTACACAAGCAGGTCGAAACATTTCACAAATTGTACCTGAATTATCAATATTTCTTCTTGCTTTTAAAACGACGACATTAATAATTCTAAATCTACCAATTCTACCATTAATAAATGGTTCCTTTCCATATAATAGAAACAGGATTACAGGAACAGAATAAAAAAATATTTCATTGGGCTCCAGGCCTGGATTTAGGTGCGATAAAAAAAATATTACAAAAAAATTTAAAGAATAGTCTTTGACAAAAATTGTAGTACGCTATTATCTTCATAAATTATGCAAAAAATAATATTTTACTCAAAAACTCGGAGAAAATTGTTATCATTTAGAATTTTGGATAAGAATAGAGCGGCTATAAAATTAAATAATAAATTAATCGTACTATAAGACAATTATGAACTCTATCAACTACGATGTTGAGTGCAATGTGTGTGTGACTGTTTGAGGAAGCGGAGTATCGAAAAAAAGTAACATTCACGGTAAGTCCCAGTTATTTGTATTTTGTTCATCGATGTCTCGATGATAACTATTTATAATCTATGGTAATAATAGAGTAGACAATGATCTAAACTAGTGTTAAAAGTTTAAAACAGCTTTCTATTGTTCGAATCGAACAGTACGATAGAATTACAACGTGATTACAACCCAAAGTTATAAATAATTTGAAACTTAACTTAATAACTTAACTGAAACTTTAATATTAATTTGAAACTTTAAAAAAAATATTAAACTTGAAACACTGATATCTCTTAATAAAATATTTAGACATAGACAAACTTTATTTTGACAAGCAACAAACAGCACAAAAAAATTCAAAAATAAATGACATGAACCTAAAAAATGATTAATAATACAAAAACTGACGGTAGCTTGGGTTAACTATGACAATCAGACGTCTAACATCTCAGTGATCATGAATGCTGTAAAGGGTTCGAAACGTCGGGAATTAAAATTAAAAATAAACGCGATAAATCCGAAAAATTAGTTTCATTTATAATGTGTAATCGTGTAAATACAAGAAATTATTATAAAAAATGATAAATAAAAACAAAACATCCTTTCAACAAAAAAAAATTCAAGTTAAAAAAAACATATAAGAACACAAGGTTACAAATATAAAAATTATTAATAAAGAATCAAAAAAGACATGTCAATCAAAAAAGACAAAAAAAATGTTAGGTGTATATGTAATAAGGAATAAATTGTGCTATGAGTTTATGTCAAAAATGGTCTCCACTCAGCAAAAAATACGGTGAGTTCCGCATTGCTTGTATTCTGTGGAGCCATTTCGATGCGAGGAATGTGAGGAATGTGCGGGTAGATGCGAACATATTATAAGACTTGTGAACATATTACCAGTATAAAAAAATACTAAAATAAAAACATGAAATAATAATAATAAAAATAAATTGTGCAACTCTACCAACAAAAAATAAAACAATGCAAGTAAAAAATATTAGAAAAACAAAAGAAAAACAAACAAAAGGACATTATATACACACAAATCCAACTATACTAGCAAAAAGCTGAGCTTTGTGAGGGCTCGCGTAGTTTTTCCAACATACGGTAATAATTATTATGACGACAATATATCGATTTAAACCCCTTCGACCGAGTTTCCGCCTTACCGTGGCGGAGGGGCTTAGTAGCCATGGCATGGTCAACTTTTTTTTTTAGAGCGCTGACTAAAACTCCCACGATGTTCCACCACGATGTTCCCGCATATCGGCAGAGTCACGGGAACGTTTTCGCACACTTCCGCGACCCTGCCAGCGCTGACCGCCTCAGCCCCCTCCCGGGGAGCAACTCCCCTCTCCTCTACTGGCGCTCTGGGACATTTAGCGCGCTTTCCTACTTGGCCGCCCCATTCTCACGGCCAGCAAACTCCCCGAGTTCGCTGACCGGGGCCACGGGAGCCAGGAGAGCCAGTGCTGATAAGTAGAATAGTGTCGGTATTGCGGTGTACCGTTCTCCCTACCTTCCGCGGCCGAAATATGGTAGGCGGCGGAGCGACAGAGCAGGTCCACCGCTGGGGGCTGGGAGGCTTGCTGCTTACTGGCTTTCCTGGCTCTCCTGGCAGCCGAGTAGGAAGGCGCGCTGAATGTTCCAGCGAGAAGGGGCTGCTAAGGTAGCCAGCGCTAGCAGGGTCGCGTAAGTGTGCCAAAGGGTTCCCGTGGCCCTGCCGATATGTGTCTAGGTGGAACGTCGTGGGAGTTTTAGTCGGTGCTAGGCCGACATAACCCGCTCTTGCCCCCGCGAGGGCCGGTATTTTTTTGTTAACTTGTGGGTATGCGTAGGCATTTCCCACAGGTTTACAAAAAAAAAGTAAATCGACTTAAAGGTGAAAAGGACTTGATTGAATATACTTACTAGATCATCAATTGGCATCAAGAAAATGATAATTTAGAAAATACCAATTGTTCTAGAAAACAATTCCCATTGCAATTAGCTTTCGCTATTACAGTTCACAAGTCACAAGGCTTAACATTAGATATAGGTGTTATAGATATTGGGGAAAAGGAACATATATATATATATATAACAATATATACCTAGACGATTTCCCTTTCATAGATTAAATAGTATTAAAGGTGATATCTGTTAAAATGTAGGAAGCAGAAAGAAATCCGTATGAGAAACCTAATGTCATACAAATAATATAAGTACTAAACAATGTTTGATAAATAAAAAAATATCTAAAATGAAAATCGTATTAATTATTTACTTCGGTAAATATGATATGGGCCGAAGCTCACATCAAAAATAATAATTTTAAAAAACTGTTTAAAAATTAATATCATTAATATTAGTTAGAAAAACTACGCGAGCCCTTACAAAGCTCAGCTTATTGCTAGTATACCTAAATATGATTCTGCCTCTCGTTTTCTTGTCTAACGTTCTCTCGTCTGATTCATCAACAAACGGTTTTTTTCACGTTCTTTACGGCCTGTTAATGTGAGTCTTCGCGTCATTTTACTGTAGTATTTTTATTCTTTGTTTCGCTGTAACAATATCATTAATAAACTTAATGTAGGTTAAATATTTGACTGGTTTTCACACAGTTATCGTTCACGCATTACTATATTATTTTTTGTAGGTGCTCACTAATAGCCATTTCAAAACATGTTCAAAAACTGTCAGCCTTAGTTTTGTTGCAGTTGCCGATGATTAACTCTTAAGTTTTCTAACAGATGGCGTTAGTAGTACAATAACATTGTATCCAATAAATATAAAAAGAACAAATTACAGTTTTTTTAGCAGATAGCACATCTAGATATGGAGTTAAATTACTGTGTTTAGGCACAAATCTATAGACCGTATAGTTTTTCCGTAAAGTGTACCACAAAAGTGCTCAGATTGTCGACTAGTGTTAGGACTCGCTTCGCTCGCCCTAATTAGTGCTACGGGGTCTATTAGGTACTCATTAAACATTTTGCATTAAGTATGTGGGCAATACTCGTCTAGAAGCTGGTAAGCATTTTTGGAAAGACAAAAGATGTTTCAATTTGAATTTAAAATTACTTAAATTTTTTATAACCCTAAGAGGCGGTGGTATATTGTTGCAGCATTTAGACGCGGCGTACTTAAAACTTCCTTTGAAGGAAGCTGAGCGGTGTTTTGGGATCCTAAGTATCATCTTTTTAGATGCCCTAAATTGATCAGTTGACAACCAATCAAGTATTTGAAAAAGGTGTTTAGGTCGGCAAGTTTTGATAATCTCAAATAATAGGGTTGCCAAATGAAGCCAATTTATTTGACGAAGACCCTTTAACTTTACATCCCTTTTAACAATGTTAAAATAAACTTGATTAAATATCCTTTCTAACAATTACAGAATTGTTTTAAAACTTATTTACCATCATGAAGAAAAACTTAGAAGAAATGAGCTACTCCCCGCTAGATAAGATACGATCTTGCGTGTCTAGTTAGAGTGAAGATGACAGCCGTTTAAGGTCTCGTAGTTGTAGTATTATTGTAATATGTTGTTTAATTTTCAAACAAAGTTTGAAAATTAAACGACATACTTTCCAAGATGTAATTTTTAATGGCTACTTACAAAATTTGCCTTGTCATAAGTTATTATTAGACATTTTGAAATTAAAATGAATAACAATATTAATTATAATTTATAATCGTTTTTTCAGCAACAACGCCGCAACCTTGCCCCGTGCGATTTGCCTTTCAGCACGGATTTGACTTAACTTATTACTGAAATAAAAAAATCATAACATGCTACGTGTATAAGTTTTTACTGTAGTACAACTACGCAAGTTTTCACACTTGTACAAATGGTCATGTCCGTTCGGGAAGTACCGCAACCTCACACGGTCGCATGCAATCCCGCGTGTATTGTAAATTATGAGGAACAAAAGGCAAATATTCTCGAAACTCGAAACTCTTCACCGCTGCGTTGGAAGATGTTTACAAGCTTCTGGAGTGGAAAGGACGTGATTTAAACATCAATGGCGAATACATCACTCACCTTAGATTTGTCGACGACATAGTCATCATGGCAGAATCACTGGTTGCCCATGCTCCTCAACAGTGCCTCTTAACGGCCCACCTCTTAAGATGAACATGGACAAGACGAAGATCATGTTTAATGTCCATGTCACGCCTGTACCGGTTGTTGTTGGGAGCACTGAGCTGGAAGTTGTTGACGAGTACGTTTACGTAGGACGGCTAGGTAAGTCCAACTTCGATGCAGAGGTCAATCGGCGAATTCAACTTGGACGGACATATGTTAGGTACATATCAAATATCATCCGCCGAAAGCTTTTCATTTATCTTTAAAAATTTACTCTTTACAGTTTTATCTTGAGTGCAGAGAGTTAGATACTAGCACTAAAAATTAATCGGAATTTTAGCCCTTTATTATAAAGTCCACAATTAAAATAGAATTTAAAGAATCGAAATTTTGTCACCTATAATAAAATTCGATTAGCCTTTATTGTCCGGGCGTCAAGATTGTCGCCAACTGTTGTTACCGAGGTCAAACTTCCTATGGCTATGCGCTTTTA